GGTAACTTACGTGACGACGGGTTGGGTCGTCGCATCCTCCCCAACTTAAACAAACGCTCGTCCTCGAGCGAGACAAGAAACATACCTGAAGCCTCAAATAGGTGAGGGTATCTGCTCCGCATCGTCTCCCAGGTAGCTTCCTCCACGGGCCGACCTCTCCACTGCACCTTCACCGAAGCAACATCCTTTGACCTCAACTTCCGTTTGCACAAATTAAACTGCCAGGACTGAATCCTTCTAACAAGACCAAGCCAAGCAAGCCATCAAAGCCCATGAACATTGTTGCAAAATACCTGTAAGGACCTACTACCTCGAACACATACAAAGAATTGATCATATCCTTACCATACCGATTCGGTCTACTATCAACCATTCCATTTATCTGAATTTCCCTTCTAATTCATTTTCAACTTGATGCTCCCTCTTGTTGTAGTACCACAATTTCTCAATCCCAGGCTCACTACACAAGACCCAAGCACTGGACCACACTGTCTAGGACCCATAGGCCGCTGAATACTCTCTCAAATATTACCAGAAATATTACGCTCCCGAATACTTTAATCTGAAGAACCTCTTGCGAATCCGAATCCGAATCCGTTACCTTTACTTTCCCGATACTGATACATAGAACCCCATAATTAACATAGAAATACCACAAATCTGAACCTCTTCTAATGAAAATACAGTTTCTAACCACGCATGCAACTTTAAATACCCGACTATTTCCTGCAGAATCTTGAACACATTAGAACCATTCTCGAAAGTCATTCACTCTTATTCAAACTGCAAATTACCTGACCTAACGAACAGAACCACCCGTGCCCCATTGGAACGAAAATGGCCAATGAGTATATATTTATAAATAAAAAAAATTATCGGCTATTAATTTTGGAAGCGACTAAAAATATATATTTCTCTTAATTTTTGTTTTGTTCTTGCTTTTGCACATCAGTTTTTGGCCACCTAATTCTTGTGTCTAAGCCTGTTCAACAAGAGGCAATAAATTAGTTGTAGATTATGTGAAAGTGACCCTTACACATTCCAATCAACAAAGTTTTGCTTTCACAATTTCTTTTCTTATTCCCAACACCATCATCAGAGATGATCCTAGAATTTAGTAAAAATATATTTAAAATATTCAAAAATGAGTCTAATCTTATTATGTATATATATATATATATATATATATATATATATATATATATATATATATATATATATATAAGATATATTCTATAATACATATTTAAATAATTGTACTGCTTAAAAGAACATTTATACCTTAAATTGATTGAAAATTTGCTCCTTCAGCGCGAATGAGAAATCACTCCAAGCCGCATAAGGGCTATCATAAAGCTTTCTGGTGGCTTTGGTCATTATCCTTTTAGTAATATTACTAGGGATGAACCTGCAATTTAATAAAAAAAAAATACATTAATATCTTAGTAAAACTGTACAAAACAATAAACGTAAAAATAACAAATAACTCTTACCCATCACCCTCAGGGACTATGACGATCCTGCCGTATTGATCATAATTCACCTCCTCATCATCATCACCATCACCGTCTGAAGCATGTATATCAGAGGCATGTGTGGAAGGTGTAGGGGTGTCAGAGCTAGTATCTCGCAGGCGAAGGCCTGAAATAGGTGGAGTCCCAGATGAAGATGGCTGCGAGCCCTGTGACTGCGACATAGCTGTATGGCCCGCAAGTGGATGTGACACTGATAGCTGTGACCCGAGTGGCTGTGACACTGATGCCTGTGATCCATGTGGATGTGACATGGATCGATGCGATCCATGCGATGCAGATGGTTGCGATCCACGTGGTCGCGCGGCAGCTGGACTGTATGTCGGACGTACAGTCCTATGGCCCTATGACGAAAGACCTGGTGTCTGCACGAAGGTGTAGGGCTGGTGATGCTGCGGAAGCTCAGAATAGCCCTGGGGTGGAGGCAAAGCCATAGGCATAGGCATAGGCATCTCTGAAGAGGCAGGAAAAGATGGAGGATTATCTTCTACNCCACGGGAAGGTCTTCTTGATTTTCAAACAAATTTATTTCGTTGAAGAAGCTGGGTAATTCACGAGGTATTTACTATGGATTGAAGGTTTAATCCGAAAAACTTGGGAAAAGGAGGAGAAAGTTTGGATTTTTATTTTTTGATCTGAAATTCAGAAAAATCGGGTGGTCTTTTGGAGAAATCGATGGTACGACATAAAAGAGGGGACGATGAGGACTGTCCCATTAAAATTTGGAGGGATTTGGAGGTGCTCCGCCGTCGTGAGGCGATTTCCCGCGGCGGAGCTATGGCGGAGATGGGCGGCGATTTCAGAGAAGGGGGGATCTAGGTTTTGGTTTAAAATGGGATTGATGAAGACTGAAGGAAAATTGGTCGTTTAATGGGTTGGGATAAATGAAACGACGTAGTTTTGTCACACAACTACGTCGTTTTGGAGAGAAGGGAGCTGGCCGAGTTGGACACGGGTTTGGTCTATGGGTCAAACGGATTCAGCCGGGTTTCAGGGAATAAAATCAATTGGGCTTGGGAATTTCCATGGTTTGGCCCAAAACAAAAATCTGATTTTTTTTTCTTTTTCTTTTATTCAAAAATCCTTTTTCTTTTCAAAATTAAAATTAAAAATCTAAATTAATTCCTAATACAAATTATCCTACCAAATTAAATTAATTAACTCTAAATAATAATTACCACAAATAATTAAATACCAAATTAAAAGAAAAACTGCCAAAATTCGAAACTCAAAATTAAAATGCAAAAAATGAGTTATTTTTTGTGATTTTTAAATTTTTTATGAAGCAAATAATTACTGATTAATTCTAAAAATGTAAAACAAATCCTAAATGCAAATGCATGAAATTTTGGTATTTTTTCATGATTTAAATAAATTAAACATGCACAGAAATGCAAACAATTAATAAAAATCTACAAAATCCTATAAAATGGCAAATAACTGGAAAAAATCTGTTTTCTTTGATTTTTATAGGAGCAATTCATATAGGGCAAAAATTACATGTTCATACTAGGAGGCTACAAAAAATAATGGACATCTTGGTGGATACAAGCCAAGCAGCTTTTGTTATTGGGAGGGTAATAATTGATAACATCTTAGTGAGTCATGAATTAGTAAAGATGTATGGTAGAAAAGGGATCTCTCCAAGATGTATGCTAAAAATTGATATGCAGAAAGTCTATGACTCAGTTGAGTGGGTGTTTCTAGAGCAAATTCTAGTTAGTCTAAATTTCCGTGATGTTTTTGTAAAATGGATTATGGGGTGTGTTAGAATTGTTTCTTATTCTGTATTTATTAATGCGAAGCCTACTAAATCCTTATAGGCTAGGAGGATTGAGGCAAGGAGACCCCCTTTCTCCTTTCTTATTTGTCCTGGCAATGGAATATCTTAGTAGGCTGCTCAAGCAATTAGGAAAACTGCCTAATTTCAACTTCCATCCTAAATGTGCTAAAATGAATTTGATCCGGTTGGGATTTGCAGATGAATTACTCTTATTTTGTAAAGGGAATGTTATGTCTGTTCATATGCTGTTTGATAGGTTTCAAAGTTTTTCTAAGGCCTTTGGTTTCGTTGCAAACTTGAGCAAAACCTCTATTTACTGTGGAGGTGTTACACATGAGGTCCAAATGATATCCAGAATCTACTGGGATTCAGCAAAGGGGAACTCCCTATTAGATACTTAGGGGTCCCTCTAAGCACCAAGAGAGTATCTGTGTTCAATGCCAGCCTCTTTTGGATAAAATGTTAGGAAGGATTAAACCTTGGACTACTAGATTCTTATCATATGCAGGCAAATCCCAATTGATAAAGTGAGTGTTGTTCTCCATACAAGTCTTCTGGGCGCAGATCTTCGTCTTACCTAAGAAAGGTGTTAAAGTCATTGAAGCTACTTGTAGGAATTTCCTTTGGTGTGGTGGTACTGAGTTGTCAAAAAAAAACTTTGTTAGTTTGGGATAGGGTCTCTTATCCAAGTTCTGCATGTGGTTTAAATATTCTAGACATTGCAGTTTGGAATAAAGCGACAATTAGTAAACTGTTGTGGAATATATGAAGGAAAACAGATAAACTTTGGGTGCAGTGGATTCATTGTTATTATGGGAGGAACATGAATATGTTTGAAGATGTCCCAAAGCAAGAATCCTGGATTGTTCAGAAGATTTTGAAAGCCACAAAGTACTTTAATGAAGCAAGTTATATATTGAATGAGGTGCAGAGTATGGAGAAGTTCTCTGCAAAGTAATGTTACTTGAAGTTAAGGGGTACATTTCAGAAAATAGCATGGAGGAAACTTGTGTGTAACAACCAAGGTCTACCCAAATGGATTTTCATATTGAGATTGGCTTCACTTGTGAGACTGTATACAAGAGAAATTATTCAAGTGGGGTGTGACTCAAGATCAATTTTCTCCCTTGTGTGAGCAAGACCATGAAAGTTTGGCCCATTTGTTCTTTACTTGTGAGACTATTGCACAACGCTGTAAGAAGCTGCTCAACTGGATAGGTCTCACTAGAAATCCAATGGCCTAGGAAGATGAACTACAGTAGGCTATGCAACATACTAGTGGAAGAAGTCCAAGAGATGAGGTATACAAAATGCTACTAGCGGTTGTTGTTTACCATGTGTGGATGCAAAAAAATTATAGAGTATATTAGGGCAAGCAACAGATTATTGAGGTACTGGCTAGACAGATAGTTCAGAAAATCCATGAAGATTGCAAAGTGGCTGAAGAGCTTAAACTACTACCCAGCCTAATTACTTTTGTTATTGAGATAATTTTTTTGCTATTTTAGTTTCTAAGCTTAGGTTGAAGGTTGGGACTTGATGTCCAACATTCAGTATTTGTGTATTGTACATAACTCCAATTTTGGTAATAAAAATCTAACTAATTACCACCAAAAAAAATATTGTCGAAAAATTTTCAAAATTTCATGGACAAACACGTTTTCTAAAAAAAATCAGTAAAAAGAAAAAAAAAATCTATGGACAAAAAGGTCCTAAATTCATGATCAATATGGTGTTCAATCAAGAAAGCAATACAAGTGGAAGTAGCACATATCAACTTACAAACATAAGTTAATGCCACAAACCAGACACAAACATTACTATCTGGATACAGAATAACTCTATTTCTTTATAGTAGTTTCTTATTTTCCTATTCCCCTTTTCCAGAACAAGCTTTCTACTAATACTCTGCAGTTGCCTTAAAACAGAATGAGCACATTAACAATATTCAATGAACTTCTTCCTCCTTGTTTGTGTAAATAACACAGTCAGATCTTGGATATGAAATGCATGTCAACAAATAACCCTTCTCCATTTGATCATCGTCGAGGAATGCACCTTCGGATTGGTCTACTGATCCCGAAACCAACTGTCCTGCACAAGTACAACAAGAACCTGCTCTGCACGAGTACGGCAGCTCCAAACCAGCATCCTCTGCGGCATCAAGAATGTATTGATCATCCGACACTTCAATTTCATTCTCGGTACCATCAGGGCCTATTAGTTTCACCTTGTATGCTGCCATTGCGGAGACTTTGAACGAGGACGAAGACTTTAAGCCAAATGCTTTGGAAATACTCTTTACAGAACCTAAAGAGCATTGAGGTTTTGTAAAGGTGGAGGATCTTATCGATGGTGCAACTTTGAGCAAGGAAGATGAAGGAATGCTTATACTCGACATATTACACCTGGGAGACACACAACTTGATCAATTTAGCTAACTCGCGCTAAAAATCACGACCAGATGAAATATCCAGCAAACAAAGAAAGATGCTGTCTTGTATGCAAGCAAAGAAAGCCAAAATGATGGGCTCTAAACTCCTGTTTTCCTAAGCGAGTAGCGGAAAATGTCCAATTAGAAGAGAAGCTGCAATTTATTTCCAGTATTACTATTGATTATACGTTTATTAGTAGTCATGATCACAGAATTTGAATGTCATTAGAATCTAGCTACTTCATCGATACATTAACCAATTAAACAATGCTGAACTGGCAATTCTATATCCTCAAATGGTTAGTGATATCCCATTGCAAGACCAGTCAAATGTGCTATCAGATTTTAGAAACTGCATACTCTCTAAGAGAAAGTGTATCAGTGTCGTATATAGTTAAGCGCATCGACAGAAGAAACTGTCTTTAGTTAACAGAGAAATCCAAATAATTATTCCTACGCTGCATCTTATTCTAATTTCAGGATTCATAAACTTGAAATCAAGACCTAAGTTTTCAGAAAGGGAAATTCATTCCATCAACTTGTGCATTGGAAAGATATGAATATGTCCACCTTTTGCTTTCGTTGGAAGCACTTAAATTATTATGAACAACTAAATTTTCTCCGGACTAATGCATACTCACAGTGACACACAAAAATATGTGAAACATTCTATTATGTCATTGTTCTTTATGTGTGATTCTTGTGCTTTGCATTTTCGAGGATTCTGATACGCATTATGCCAATTGATCTAGACTCTTTGATTTTATCAAAAATTGCAAATTATAATATACCATTACGACGGAATGGCAGACGTTGACTGAACAGAAATACTGCTTAGGTGTTAGAACTACTCATGCAAAGGTGGCCCTGACTCTTAACTTATCAGTTCACACTTCACAGAAGCCAAAATTTTTGTTAAATTTCCCAAATGACCACAAATGACACAATTCGCGACAAACACTTCTGTATTTCTCTACGACAATTAACAAGCAGAGGACAAGAGAACAATAAAGAAAATAAGGCAACACAAAGAAGAACAATCACAACCCATACATGTTCAAAGAACAAAACTTTGCTAGTAGGAATCCGACCACTTTCAATTGAATGACTATTCTACTAATTACAATGAATGATCCAATTTCCAAATGTAATAAGTAAAACAGCATTAACAAAAATACAAAAAAAATAAATAAATTATATTGTTAGTGTATATAAGTTAAATTTATATTTTTGGCGTTTATAAGTTAAATTAAGAGTTTAATTTCTGTGCATTGATAGTAAACATTTTTAAAACAACCAAGTTAAAGTTACCTACAATAAGATGCAACTGTGTAGAATAAGCCTAATTTGATAATCTAGAAAATAAACGAATCTCTCAATTTCAATATTCAAAGGTCACAGTCAGTTAACCAGAACTTAAAAGATCAATCAATTACAAGATCAGTGCTATCAATTTGATTCATTCAACAAAATAATCATTAAACTTTTAAACAAATAAATCCAAATCCAGTAATCAAGAAAAACACATGATGATTCCACAAACAAAAGTCTTAAGTTATCAGAAGATAGCAGTACAGAGAAGGGAACTTACTGAAGCAGAAGAATCTGAGCTTGTAAACAATCACAATACTCAATACTCAATACCAAACCAAATATTGTAGCTGTACACTGTGCCCTAAATAATTCCCTTTGTGTTGATTTATATAAGAGAATTTAGAGACGGTTGAAGTGAGCTAAGAAGCATATGAAAAAACAAACAAGGTCTTTACTTGTCCTTTCGACCCTTGATAAGGACGTAATTTGTTGTTTACTACCCTTTAAAACAGTAGCAATTTGAATCTCCACTACTCTTAAAATATAGTAGTAATTTATTTTTAGACTTTATTTAATTTCCGAATTTGTATTGAATATGGTTTGCTAACCTATAATTTCAGCATAGACCAAAATTTATTTGTGTGAAATCTATTGAAATTGCGGGAAAAAAAATAAATTAAATTATGAACATGTAATTCAAATTAGGTGAACGATTTAATGGTTGAAATTTCAGTTCTGAACCCATAGAATTAAACTTTTGAATTCGCCTCCACCGCCCATAAACTACTATTATGGGGTGGCGTTCAAGCAATAATTCATTGAGAATCAAATGTAGTAACCAACTAACTACTATTCAGTTTTTAAATACTATAATTTTGTATGTTTTATTATAAAAATTTGTAATTTATAGTAGTACTTTTATACTAACTTTTGAAATAAAAACTCTTAAGTAAAATTTTATTTTGTTATACCTTTTGTGATGGTGAAAGCATTAATAAAATATTGAGATATTAAGCTAGCATTTGGACATAGATTTAGTTGAAACTTGAAAAAATAATTTTTGAAGTAGTTTTGAAAAATAATTTTTGGAAGTTGAAATTATGTTTGGACATGCATTTTATTTGAAAAAAATTTGAAGTTTTGTGAGTGGGAGAACAAGTTTCACCCAAAATCTACCCTAAACTAGATTTTGGGAACTTGAAAAATAATTTCAGAAATTTTTCAAAAATAGATCATTATTCTATGAACAAACAATGTTTTCAAAACAGATTTGAAAAAACGTTGGCAAAATGTATAGCCAAACGGGGCCTTAAGAAGCAAAAATCATTTTGGGCAGATCATGGAATATAATTAATAATTAATAAGAGGTGGAAGGAGCCAAGTTGGTAACTCTATGTTGATTGTTGAAGAGAGTCAACTGGTAGTGATACATTGTATGCAGACAGAGACTGGAGCCAGATGTTGTGGATTGTGGAATATGATATAATCATAGTTTCCAGACTCTTCATTGTCTTATTCATCAAAGCATCACGAATGTTCTTTATCTTTCTTTATAAAGAAACAATTTGATTAATACCAAAAATACATAATATTGTCCTATTTCCTACACCCTTCAAGATACAATTAAAGGTCAAATTATACCATTTGGCCATAGATTTTGCCTCAATGATTCGAAATAACATTTGAAGATTATTTTAATAGGTGTTTGCTTATCAAATTGACCCCTTTTTACAATTTCAAACTTGAAATATATGATCGACGGTGGCAGAGCCATATTCAGTCAAGGGGTGTCAATTGAGACTCATTCGTCGGAAAATTATATTGTTTTGCTACATAAATTTTTCTGTTTTATGTATATCTACTATATGTTGACTCCTCTAAACTTTTCGATGTATCTATTTTTTTTTTATATTTCGACATCCTTTGATGAAAATTCTGACTTCGCCACTGATGATCAGAAGTTTGAAAAACAAATTTTAAGAGTTTTTTTTTAAGTTTTCACTCTTCCCTCTCTTTCTTCTTTTTCATCCCTTTTCTTCCTCGCCACCTTTACTTGAGCCATTGGAAATAGCCTCTCATCTCTCCAAGTAGAGGTAAGATCTGCGCATATGCTACCCTCCTCAGGCCCCCACATGTAAAATTATACTGATTTGTTATTATTGTTGTTGTTTACTCACAAGACTTTAACCTCGTAAACCCCTTTTCAACTTCACATTAAATACTACTTTTCTTCGAATGTCAACCAACTAAGTAATGTCTCATTTGTTTCTCCGTGACTTTTGCGCTACTAAGTACAAACTTGAGTGGTTTTTTGCTATAAAAAATTAGTATACTGAATTTCTTGCTATTTAGAAAACGTTGAGTGAACTTTTTAGTTATAAAAAATAAAAGTATTATAGTAACTGTAATATAAATGACTATCCATGAAATTAACATGTTAATTTGATAAGGACCTGCATTTTTTTAAGCTGGGAAAAATAAAAAATAGCCTGATTTACAATTGATAATTGAAAATTAGTCATGGTTTCAAAAGTAATCGAACTTTAGCCACTTTTTCAAGTAAAATTAAAATCTAAACAAAAATACCCTTAAAATACAGAAAATTTCAGCATAATATGCTAGAGTGCAAATTTTTTACATATGAGATTCTAGCATAATGTGCTGGAGTTCCAACAGAATATACTAGAAGTTTATAAGTAGGAGTTCCACAATCTAGCATATTATGCTAGAACTCTCTGTATTTCAGCTAGTGTATTTTTGTCAAGATTTTAATCTTTGCATAAAATAGTGACTATTTTTTAATTACCAATCCGAAAATTGGCTTACTCATATTATTTTGGGAGAAATTCAAAAATAGCAAGATTTACAAGTGGTCATTCAAAAATAGCCACAGTTTCAAAAGTAATCCAAATTTAGCCTTTTTCATGTAAAGATAAATTTGAACGAAAATACTGTTCAAAATCTGAAAAATACTCCAGCATAATATACTGAAATTCCAGCATAATATACTGGGGTTCCAGTATAATATACCGGTCTAGTATAATATGCTGGAAGTTCATACACAGGTGCTTCAATCTCCAGTATATTATGCTGGAACTTTCCACGTGTTGGAGTTCCAGCATAATATGCTGGAAGTTCATACACAGTTGCACCGATCTCCGGTATATTATGCTGGAACTTTCGGTGTTGCAACAAAATAGTGGCTATTTTTCAATAACTTTGCAAACGCTCACTATTTTTCAATGACCAATCCGAAAACTGGCTAACATTTTTACGTTTAAACCCAATTCAACCAAGCCCAAAAGGTCGAACCAATGATTATCAAGGCCCAGCGATCCATTTCATAACAACCCATGGACTCCCAGTCGGGTCAAGCCGAATCAATTACAGTAAACTGCAAATGAAGGCCACCTTTTCTTCTTCTTCTTCTGTTGATGATGATACTGTAATTCGGTGGAGCTGAGAAATAGCAAAAATGAGAAAGCAAGTGTTAACTTTGACAGAAGCTGCGGCGTCGAGAATACGGCAGCTGTTAGAGCAGCGTCAGCGTTCTTTCCTTAAGCTTGGCGTCAAATCTCGCGGCTGTAACGGCTTATCTTATACCCTCAATTATGCAGGTTTCCCCTATATCAAAATGGTTTACGATCTTCTTTCTAAGCTAATGTCAATTTTTTTCTTCCTGTTTGAGTTTTTAAGTGTATAATTGATCTGAAACCCGGATAAATGGAGGATATTTGCAATAGATTATATATTACATCCAGCTTAAAAATAATTTAATTATAATGACCCATGATCAGTTTAAATATAGGAAAGATTTGTATACTGTTATCTATGTTGGAAAAAATTTGCTTAATGTCACCAATTTTCGGTGCCATCCTCCCAGACGCTCTTTTACACTGTGCTAACTGTTAATTATCTGAATCTGCTGAATAAGAAATGTCTTTCATCGCTTTCCTGTCATAATTTGAGCTGCATTTAGTGTATAATTGGTCTACTGATAGTTTGAAGTTTGTCGCACTGAGTTGAGTCAGTAGAATATATCACTCATCAAATGTGTGCGTGCAACAACAACATATCCAGTGTAACCCCACAAGTGGGGTCTGGGGAGGGTAGATAGTGTGCAGCCTTATCCCTACCTTGTGCAGGTAGAAAGGCTGTTTCCGGTAGATCCTCAGCTCAAAGCAAGCAAATCAAATGTGTGCGTGCAGGCACACAGAAAGTTTGCTGGAGTTAACAACAGCAGTCTTCATTTATTTTGTGCTTGAAGTTCCAATGTCATGCTAGCAACATTTGCATAGAGCTAGTTCCAGCGATTTGTGCAAGCATGTCCCTACAGATTATTCTGCCATTTTCACTAATCATAATTAATTAGCTTTAGAGCTTGCCTATTATAAAGATTAATAACTGATGTACAATCTGTGAAATTTCTTAAAGAAAGAAAAAACATCTATGAAATTTTTCCTCTCATGTTTAGAGTAATTTCTAAAAGGACCGTGGATTGTACAGATGATAAAGGAAAATTTGATGAGTTAGTTGAGGACAAGGGCGTGAAGATACTGATTGATCCAAAGGCTCTTATGCACGTCCTAGGTACAGAGATGGATTTTGTTGATGACAAGCTCAGGTATGAGATGCTATGTCTGTTTTATGCTCTACTAGTATTGTCATATTATGTCTTCTATTTATGGCTACTACCATTGCATTTGTAACCTCTTTCTATGATCGATCTTTTAAGCTCAACTATTCTCCGAGCTGTCAAGTCGCAACATTAAGTATCACAACAATAATCTAAGATTAAAGCAAGTTTAATTTTCCATTTTTTCTTGTACCGTCTCACATCACGACATTAAGTATCTATATGAGCTAAGATTAAAGCAAGTTAATTTTGTTAGTTTGCCAGTACAGTTGTGACATAACTGTGATGTTTAAAAGGCTGAAGTCAACTGCTGCCTTTTTTTTCCCCTGCAGAGACAACCCTCCTTTAGTTTTTCTTCAGAAGCTTTCAGATGCTTTATTTATTGAAGTTGACTTAAATTTAGTAGTTTTTTTAATCCCTATGACTTTTGCGACTAGTCTTGTTGAATTCTTTAAACTAACCTATCATGTCCTTTTGGGGACTTTGCTTCAAGGAATAAGAAGGTGTAATGAAATAGCAATTACGTGATTTGATCTCTTTCGTTTGTGGTTTCTAGCTTTTGATCAATCTTTTCTTTGCCATTTGAAGCCTCATTCTCTTAATATGGATATAATCTTTACATTCTCTTATCTATCTTAATATCTGTGATTCCCATGGAGGAAGATAAGAAAATATGCTTCAAATGATTAAGACTCCATGCTCTAACTTTTCAGTAAAAAAATTGATTGAAACTTCACTATGACTCAATTTCTTTCCCTTTTTTCCCCGGTAAAGTAATGCTCTTGTTTCCCTCAAATAAACTTTGGTGCTAAGTTGCTCGGACACGGATGCAGATCTAGAGGTCGGATACTTCGAGATGTAAATTCTAAGATCTGGGGATACGGATCCTAATATGGATACGGGTGTGGGGATCCGGCTAAAAATAATTTAAAAATATAAAAATAATCTCTAAATTATGAGAAATTTTGTGGAATACTTACGTATAGTTTGTAAAGTGTGGATTTCTTTTTTATTCTCAAGTTGTAGATAAGTAAATAATTGATTTCTTAAGTAAGATATGATATTTTCTTCAAGTTTACCCTAGTTTTGATTCTGATTCCGGGAATCAAAATTGTATCGCGTTTCGAATTTTTCCGTCTGTTGTAGTCAAAATACAAAATTATTTGACCAAATCCGGTACGGATCACATATCCACACTTATACTAGTGTCGTGGCGATACTGGCGCAGCACTTAAACTGTCGTGTCGGAGCAACTTAGCTTTGCTGATGGTTTGCCTAGTGGATGGACACATTTTGGCCTCCTTGTAACTATCCCATCTTGAAACCCCTAGCTTACAAACATATGCTTTCTCTCTTATTGCCATGGCAGGTCAACCACCCTCAATCCGGTTGCTTCTTATCCATGCAATTTAGAACTCTAGGAATATGAACTTTATATTTTAATTAGGAAAATTGAACATATAACAAGCTTTTAATATTGTTCTGAGTTCTGACTGTGATGAACTGGCTAATCTGAAGGTCGGACTTTGAAAAATGGTTAATCTTCGGTTGGCTGTTGTCCTGTTGTGATGGTCGGTTCATATCTTGGTCATATGATTCAGTTTCTAGTTTGTAAAAGATCGCATTTTGGCTTATGATGAAGGTGGTTTTTGAGGTGGATTAGGAATGAATTTCATGACTTTTACGTGGAGAGCATTCCGTCTTTTGCAGGTTTTCGTTCAATTATATCCCTATGTAACTTGTCATCTAAGGCTGCGGCCAAGATCCTATTTCTATTCTAAAGAAAAATCCCAAAAGCAAACTTGGGATGGGCATCAAAAATTCATTTTGTTCTTGCTCGATTCCTAGTATCTTTGTCCTTGTGAAACTGTTCCATTGCACTTAACTGCTTAGTGGAACGGTTACTATTGCTGTTCATAAACCTGGTTAATCCTTATATGTGTCTCATAAACATCATTAAATCCTATAACCTGACATCTTTTTTATCATAAGCAGATCTGAGTTCATATTTATCAATCCAAATGCAACTAGACAATGCGGTTGTGGAGAATCTTTCATGACAACAACTAGCTCAGAAGCTGCTAAGTTGCGTGGCAAATCAAACTGATAGCTTGTTTTATACTCAGTAGTCAGTATGATGTACGTTATATATACACTTAGAAGTGTGAGTATATAATCTGGAGTGACAAATCAATGAGTTAATGGTCAGAAACAAAGGCTTTTGTTAATTTTTCTTCGACCTTTTTTAATCTTCTTTTCTTGTGTACATATTGTAACGCTGTTCTTCACCCCCAATAATATGAGTGGATGCATGTATTACTTACTGCAGTAGCTGTTCTAAATAGTAAAAATTCCTTTTTTTCCATTAGTTATTATATATATATATATATATATATATATATAATAGATCAATAGAAAAGTGAGGTGGCACATCTCTTAAGCCAAGAAACATATTTGTCTTTTTTCTCTTTTTTTGAGTTTTTTCATCACTCTTTCAATTTATTTTATGTTAAAAAATTTATTTTCATAACTCACAACTCTTTATCTTCATAACCTACACTTTTAATAGTCTCAGTAACTCCAATCCTTTTCACATTCATAACCTCCAAATGTTTAATGTGTAAGTTTATGATAACTTATCTCATTCTTTTTATCTTCCCCTTCATTTCTCTCATTTAATCTATTTAACACAATGGAGTAAATGAGTAATAAAGAATCCTTGTATTAGTTTTCTAGAACAAAGTTTACGTATCTTTAGCACTTGAATACCATTTTCATTTATCTTTATTGTACCTTATTTGCTATAAAATTTAAAATTTTACTTTCATAACTCATACTACCTTAACTTCTACTCTTAATAATATTCATAACTCCCATGCTTTTCATATTCATAACTTCTAAATATTTAATTTAAAAATTAAGATACCTTATGGTATTCATCTATTTTTTCCTATGTAAATTCATAACTTTTTTTCATGAGACCCCTACCCAAGATTATCCTTTTCATTCTTTACCTGAAATAGTAATGACGTCATATTTACTGCACCATTCGATTCATATTTTAGTTTGGTTCGAGGAAGAAGGCTCTTGAATAATGATCGATTTGCGGGAGGTGGGTGTCGACAAGAGCTCGAAATATTATGCACTGATTTTGCATTTCTTTTTCCTTCTATTTTCTTATGTTAAGGTCTCAAGGTGTATCTTTTTCTTCTTTATTTACTTCTTGTGTATTCTCTTTTGTTTGATTTTGTATTAACTTTTGATTGTTGCAGGTCTGTTTTTTCGTTTAGACTCAAATTAATTACTTATGAGTTAAACTTTGTTGGTGCTAACTACTAAATAATAACAAACTCATGGTGTAAAGGGAAAAAATTTTAAACATGGAAACACACTCTTCATTGAATTGTTTAGCAACACTTCTTATTTCTTTTAGTCAATAAAAAGTGTTAGAACAAAAAGTTACAAAGCAGGCACATGTTCTTCTTTACTGAGCCATCGCCATGTTTGTTTCTTCTATAATAGAAATTATTTTCTGCTTCATTTCTACTTGTGATTTTTTATAATGTAAGTAATAATTTGTCTTTCATTTTTTTCGTAGGATTGGATCACGTATTATATGTACGACAAAATAAAATATCACTTTTGTTAATAGGATACAAATAATCATAACATGTACCATGAAGTGAAGTATTCTGTTTACTTTGTAAGTTTTGATTCTTCTTGAAGTATTGCGATAATTATATTTCTTTTTGAAAGTTGTGTTTTGATTCTCTTCTTTAATTGAATTGCTTATTATTTGTAAGACCAAAAAAAAAAATTACTGATTGAATACAAATAATTGAGCAAGTATTATAAGGTGAAATACTTTGTTCGCCTTCGAATGGAGAATATGAGAGTGAAACTAATGAATAGAAAAGAAAAGACGAAGATGAATGCTAAAAATGGGATAACGAGAAAGAATATATAAAAAGAATACGTCAGAATTTCCACATATTTCTTCTGTTTTGGTTTCTTTTCATTATTAGCTTCTTTACTTTTATTTCATATTTCTTTTATTTGAATAGGAGAAATTTTAGTAAAGCCGATGTTTTACTATCTAATGAAAATATTATCTATTGAACACATGCCTCTAACAATATAATTGGACTTGAAGAATCATGTATAACCTCTCACTTCCCCTTACATAATTATAATATATGTAAGTGAAATCTTTTTCTTAAAAATCTTTTCTCTTTTATTTCCTTTTTAAAAGAAAATCAGGAAAAAATATAGTCACCTAAAATCTAATTCTAATTAAAATGCTAAGTATGTGATTTCATCATATCCAGAGTTATCTTTTATATGCATATTAATATTAAAAAATTATCTCTCTCTTCCACTATATGTCGTTAATTTTTTTCTTTTTTTAAATTTCTTTTAGTGATATTTCTTGCCACCGCGTGAAGCGCGGAAAATTTCACTAGTTTGAGTATAAATTTGGTTCCGACTCTCTCTCTCTCTGCTGGGACTCTAAATTTTGGTATTTGAATGAGTAACTAAATACCATGAAATTTCAACTCGTTCGAAATGTGTATTCCTGTGTGCAGCAAGATATGCATAATTGAACAAGGATAAAGCATATATTACATAAATGAACAATATATACCAAATGATAGAGTGAATTTATAGGTATATAGTAATTAACAGCTTAAATTTTTAGATGAAATAATCACATGATTCAGCCTTTATTAACTAGAGCTATCCGCGCTCTGTGGATTTTCTCCTTGAGTTTTCTTCGACTCAAATTTTAAAATGACCTTTTGCATTGCAGCTTTGAAACTTTTCACCTTCTGCTTATCATCTGCTAACTCATTCTTCTCAATACTGCTTCTTATGGTAAAAACACTTGAAGACGACTCGTCTTCTTGGCTTCCATGGAACTTGTAAAGCTTCACGTACTTCATAATGTTCTCCAGAAAAATTCTAATGAATTTATTACAATAGAAAGGGGGCTATTTATAGTATGTGAAGCTTCGAAATTGAGCATAAAAGACAAAAGAAAGTACAAAAGTTTCTGCTAAAAGAAAAAAATATAAGAGAAAAGATCGAAGGATTTTGTTGGTAGTTATTGGTTGTACCTTTCGTAACTATTGATAGATGGATCCAAACTAAGATGTCATTTTGTCCTGATGGGAAAAATGTAGGTTTGTTCAACAGTCACGACAAATTGTTAGTGTCACGACCCAAACCCCGCACTGGTCGTGATGGCGCCTCTCGTGAAGACGAGGCCAGCCAACTAACCCAACTCGTCTTTTCAAAAATAATTTAATCATGAATAAACAGCTAAAGTATGACTTAAAAATATTAATTAGAGGAATTACAACTCCACACAGCCCTAATCGGGGTGTCACAAGTCTATACATATAAAGATTACCAAAATCGGAGTCCAAATGACCCCTCAAATTTCCATTTTAACTCTCTTAAGTTTCAAGCCCTAACCTCCATTCTAACTCCTTATTTCCTTGGTTTTTCAGTCTAAATTCACAATAAAAACGTGTTTTTAGTTCATAGGACTTACCTCCAATCAATCCCCATCGAAATCCTCTTCAATTCCCGTCCAAAAGCTATCAAGGTCGCTAAAAAATGGTGGAAATAAGACTTGGTTCGCAGATAAAATATTATTAAAACCCTTCTGTCCAGGCCTCTTTTCCTCTATGCGATCGCAGCCCCAGGCTTGCGATCGCAATGCACAAAATTCAAACTCCAAAATTTAACACTACGCGATCGCATAAACATCCCTGTGATCGCAATGACCAAACACTTTACCTTACGCGATCGCAGACTCACCCACGCGATCGCGATGAACAAAAATCCAAACTCCCAAGATTCCTCTATGTGATCGCGCTGACACTCCCGCGATCGCACTGCATGAACTCTCAACTCTACGCGATCGCGAACACAACCATGCGGTCACGTTGAACAACTGACCATCCCCAAAAATCTTTCTATGCGATCGCGATGCCTCTCCTGCGATCGCATAGAGCAAAACTCTGCAGCACTAACCTGCAATTTTCTGCAGCATCCAAAGTCCCAAAAACATTCCGTTGGCCATCCGAAAACACCCCGAGGCCCCCGGGACCTCAACCAAAAGCATCAACGTATCCTAAAACATCATTCAAACTTGCTCCAATCATCAAAACACCTCAAACAACATCAAAACCATCAAATTACATCGGATTCAAGCCTAAGTTCTTCTAAAACTTCTGAAACACGCATTCGATCAAAAACCCAACCAAATCACCTCCGAATGACCTGAAATTTTGCACACACATCCCAAATCACCTAACGAAGCTACTGTAACTCTCGGAATTCCATTCCGACCCTCGAATCAAAATCTCACCTATCAACCGGAATCCGCCAAAATACTAACTTCGCCAATTCAAGCCTAATTCTACACCGGACCTCCAAAATCACTTCCGATCACACTCCTAAGTCACAAATCATCCCCTGAAGCTAACCGAATCATCGGAATTCATATCCGAGCCCTCTAACACAGAAGTCAACGTCCGGTTGACTTTTCCAAAACAAACCTTCCTTAAAGAGACTAAGTATCTCATTTCCTTCTAAAACCAATCCAAATCAACTCGTTCACACAAGACTCTTATAATGAAGCATAAAGAAGCCGAAAATNACTATTTGCACTATTTTTATTATTATTATTTTTTATATTATTACTAAAGAAAAATCAAATTGTGTACCAATTAAATGTACTTAGCTAATACAACCAAAAAAAATATTAACTAACATATGATACCAGTATAGTATATAGTTATACCAACAGGGTATACAATTGTACGGAAAGAGTTATAAAAAGTTTAATTCAATTATTAAACTGAAATAATATTAGTTGTCAATAAAAAATTTAAAAAATTCTTAAAGGATCTAATTGTAAGAGTATATCGTTACATAATATAGCATACTATAATATTTTATTTTATTTTTGCATTTTCAATTTGCCTCTCACGCTGGGTAAAAGCTTAAAGCAAATTAAAAGGGAAAAGGCAAATGAATTTACGAGTAATAAATATACTATTATAGTATATTGTATACTATTACAGCATGTTGTTACAGTATATTGCATATTATTACAGTATACTTTAACAATATATTGAATACTATAATAGTATATTGTTGCAATATAACTATATACTCCTATAGTATATTGTATACTGTAGCGGTATACTGTTAGGTAACTGTGTTCTTCTTTGATTATTACAATATACAATTGCAGTGTATTGTAAACTATAATAGACAATGTTGCAGTATAGCTATATACTCCTACATCATAT